TTCTAATACAACTAAAAGAATAATCTAGGATGATCACAACATTTTTGCTTATACTTTTTCAGTGAAATATTGCCCATTATCTTACAGTAAGTATAGTATGAACATCTATTTAAGTACTAGAAACATGCTAAAGTGACCACATGAAACAACAAGGTTTCCAAATACCATAGAAGGACTGAACTCATAAAGCTACTTGCGTATTTATCATCACAATGAATTTCTGTCAAACTGGTATACGCTCTGCTGTAAAACAAACTGAATATATACTTTGATTTGTAATTAAAAGGAACTCACTATAAAGTTAATTACAAAGTATCTAGATATGAATCAGGACTCCCAGGAAAACTATTTCACACAAAAGAATTCAACATTAATGTTTCTATTGATTTCTATGAGATTTAGAGTAAGCCCTCTTCTAGTAACTACAGGGGTAAGGAAAGTTGTTTTGTTCTTCCATCTATCTTGGTGATAGTTGAATTTGAATTTAGTTAAACAATAATTTCCATGGTATTACAACCCTTTGATTTCATAAAACCTATATTTGGAAATATATTCAGAATACTATAGTCTAGTATATTTGCTTCTGTAACCTTTCAAACATGGAATACTCCCATTCAATTAGATACATTCCCTTGAAAGCAAGACAGAGACTCTAATAATAATTCCAAAACTGTCCTAAAACATCATCATCAATAGCTTATCTCACAAACACAGGTCCATCCATTTCTCAAGGGTGGACTTACTAATACTTTTACCCCTTACAGACACAAACTGCTAGAAGCAAAATGCTAAAGGACACGTTATCTTCCTTGATCTCCTCCCTAGCATTCGTGTGCAGTCCAAATGCGCCTCACAAAACTGCAGAAGCTATAGGAATAATCTCGGCGTTCAAACGAAAACACTGAAACAGTGACATGGTAAGACTGACACCACAAACAAAAGATTTAAAAGAAAAAGAAAGGCATGCGATTCCAGACAGCAGTCAAGCTTATCATCACCTTGAGTTGCTGTCCATCATACTAAAAGAGGATGACTCCCCCGAGGCAAACACCAGCTGGAGAGTAATCATACTTTACACTTCTCTAGTGCCTTTATCTGATGACCTCAAAATACTTGACAAACACTAATTCAATTCACCTCCGAATACTTTCTGATGCTGGCTAAATATCACTATAGTCTAAATAAGGGATAACTGAATGCCAGTGCTACTGCTAACAGTAAATCACTTTCCCTGCTATGCATCACTGGTAGAAAATGCATATGGGGAATTTCTAACTGGTCTAATATACAAGTAAGAGTTTGGGCAAAGTCAGACTCTGCGAAAAGTGCAAAATATCCCCAGTTTTCATTATCTGTGTGAGCAGCTTGGCTCCAGCATCTGCTTCTAACTTAGCCTTCATTTTGTACCACACCAGAGCTGGGCTTACTATTTTTTTAAAAAGTATTGCACATGGAATAATCTGGAAACATTACAAGATTATAAATCTCTCTGTTTCTTACACTTTAAGCATTGAGACCAGAGATGACATGAAAAATACCAAATTACATTTCTTTTACTATGACTCTCTCAGATTATTATTTTCTTAAGCTTTCTCTCTCTCTCCAGCAACCTAAAATCAAAGCTAGTGACTGGCGGACAGTGGGAATAATATGCCTGTACAAATATGCAAAGTGACAGCTGTTGACCAATATTTCAAAACAAAGAAAACACAAAAGTTACCAAGGCTTGGATTGCAGGACAAAATCAGTGAAGCTTAAACCCATGGGAAGTATATTTTTTCTTCTAGTCACTGCTTACGTGTTTAGATTCATATTTCATCCTACTATACAATGCAATAATTATTTGCACATTAAATTAATTTTTTAAGAGCAATTAGAACAGTTTTAAGAACAGTTTCTGAGATAGGGAATATTTCTAAATGTGTAGTGTAAACAGGCATATTCTAGCAAATTTCACTCAGCTGTGTTTTGAAGTAGCATATTAAATGAAACTTTTAATGTCAAGCTTTCAGCATTGTCTGAAGATCCAATTCTGTAAAATTCCTATGAATGGACAATTTCAATGAATGGAACTAGTCATATATAGAAGGATTTTAAGTATCAGATTAATAGCACACATCCTCAGAAGAACTGTCAAGGATTTTTCTGTGGTAATTCAGTAAATGCTTGAAACTATGACCCTTTTATTTAAGGCAAAGTTATTTGTTAACTTTTAAATTACTCAGTATTTGGTTTTCTGTGACGGGTTTTTTGGTTGTGTCTTTGGTAAATGGGGGAAGGGCTATGGAGATGGCCCTTTAAGAAGCTACCTGAAAAGCTCCCCCTTTGCCTTTGTCAGACCCACCTCTGACCAGGGCCAAGCCAATCAGCGCCCCTGCGAATTCATGTATTTAAGGAGGGTGCAGGGCATGCCTCGCTCTCTCTCTAGCACTGGCCCTGACCAGCGTGGCCCCAGGTGCGGGCAGTGCAGCCCTGGCCTTGCCTGGCTGGACTTGGCCGGCCCCAACTGCAACTTAAGCTTAAGCCCCGCTGCAGCTCATCTCCAAAAAAAAAAGGAGAGAGAGCCGGGATCTCCATAATCATCAGAAGAGACCTGCAGCGGAGAAAGGAGTGGGGCCCGAGGAGAACAACTCTGAAGAACACCAAGGTTGGTTTGGAGGAAACAAAAGAGAGGAAGAAGGAGGAGGACGCAGAACCCAGGTTTCCCCTTTGCAACCCGTGGCGAGAGCCGGGGCGACTGGTTGTGTGTGAGGGAACTGTGGCCACGGGCAGACCCAGAGTGGACTTGGGCTGAAGCAGTTTCATGTGTGAGGGAAACTGCAACTGTGGGCAGACCCATTTTGGACTTTTGAGGACATTTTTCCCCTATGGAAAGGGGGTCATGTGGAAGCAGAGAGAGAGCTGGACCTAAACCACGACATACTCATACTGAAAAGAAAGTATATCCCATAAATCATAGAAATTTCTGTATCACTTCCAGTATCACCTTACATACCATCTGATTAAAAATATTAAAGGAGGAAGTATAAAACTAGCTATTTTATTGCACAATACCAAAAATTTTGAACATCAGATATCTACTACAGAGTATAAACCAATTAGTGGATTGCTAGTTTCTATTGTGTTACTAACATGAGCCATACTTGAATTAACAAAATAAGTCTGGCTACATTTTGCATCATAATATGACTCCCAGATTACTAACACCACAAACAATATACATGGAGAAGAATAGTAATAAGTATTATGTAATATTGTAGGAGATCACAGCTTTATTTATTAACATGTTTATGCCTTTCTATACTTCTCTTGATTGTCCTGCCTAGCTGTATAATGTATAATATACAGACTTATATAAAGATGACAGTGGATTTAGAGCTGTTAACAATTCTAGCTGTGCTCCTTAGACAAAGTGAGAACTGCTCCTCAAACTAGTCAAGAAAAGGATTTCACTCTGATGCACTCATTTCAGATTCAGATTCTTAGATCAATAGTACAGGCACAAAAGAGTAAATGCCTAATACTATCTCAGGGCAAAGTTAATTTATAATGAAACAGGAATATGTATACAGTATCATACCAATATCATTGGTCTAATGCAATTGATAATTTGTAAAAATATCTTCAATTTTACAAAAATGCTCATAAATTAAATTACCAATCCCTACAAAGATTCTATTCTATACTTAGTTACAAGAAAGTATATTGTGTGACTTCAAAAGGTATTTCCACAAAAAGAAGACCAGGAAGTAATCACCAACAGTAAGTCAAATACTAATGGAAACCATCAGAATAACAATTTTTAAAAGTTACTTACGCCTGTCGATCCTTGTACGTCTTGTTAACTTTCTCCCACTGAAAATTAAGTTGAGTCAGCTTTTCTTGTATATTTGCTGCTTCCCTTGGTGTTGCATTTTGCAAAGCCAGAATCTTCTTGTTGTGAATAATGTCTATATGACCCAGCAGTCTCCCCAGACTATCTTTAATGCTCTGTAATATCAAGATTTTAGAAAAGAAAAAGAACACATTGTTTTTATAAATAAAAAATGTTCATAAACAAAAAATGCTTACAAAAAGGATAGGATAGGATAGGATAGGATAGGATAGGATAGGATAGGATATTTCAGATGGAAAGGACCTACATCTATCATCTAGTCCAACTGCCTGACCAGTTCAGGGCTGATCAAGTTAAAGTATGTTATTAAGGGGATTGTCCAAATTCCTCTCAAACAGTGACAGGCTTGGGGCACTGACCACCTTGCTAGGAAGTGTGTTTCAGTGTTTGACCACCTTCTTGGTAAAGAAATGCTTCCTAATCTTCACTCTAAGCACTCCCAGGTGCAGCTTTGAGCCACATCCATGCATCCTATCACTGGATACCAGGGAGAGATCAGGACCTCCATCTCAAATTCCCTTCCTCGGGAAGCTGTAGCAAGCAATAAGGTCACCCTTCAGACTACTTCTCTCCAAACTAGAAAAAGCCTAAAGTCCTCAGCTGTGCCTCAGAGGACATTCTTTCCAGCCCTTTCTCCAGCTTTGTTGCCCTCCTCTGGATGCATTCAAGGACCTTCACATCCTTCCTAAATTGTGGGACCCAGAATTGCATCCAGCACTCAAGGTGAGGTCACGTCAACATTGAATGCAGTGGGATAATCACCTTTTGACTGGTTGGTTATACTGTGTACTTTGATGAACCCCAGGATGCGGTTTGCCCTCTTGGCTGCCAGGGCACACTACTTGCTCATATTGAGCCTGCTGCCAATCAGCACCCCTAGATCACTTTCTGCAGGGCTGCTCTCCAGCTACTCTTCCCCCAGTTTATACCTGGGCCCAGCATTACTCCGTCTTAGGTGCAAAATCTGGCATATCAACTCATTAAATTTCATCCCATTAATCATAGTTCAAAGCTCAAATCTATCCAGATCCCTCTGCAAGGCCTCTTGTCCCGAAAGAGAGTCGACAAAAGCTTTGACAATAGTAACAGTTTTACAATAACTAGTCAATAATGACTGAATGTCAATTCTTTCTTTGAAGAATTAATAAACTACATCTAAGAAATGTGATGGCTGGAGGGGAAGCAAAGCACTATTGACTTACTAATTACTCTACGCCAATTCCTCTAAATCTGTTTTAACTTCATTTCTTCATAAGAAAGCAGAAAAAAAGTCCTATTTTACAAATTTATGTTTCAGTGTTCTTTATGCTGTTTATGCTGTTTATGCTTCTCTTTTATACTTGTTGCAGCAGATATTAAAGAGATATCAAAGTAACAACATGGAAAAAATAAGTTTATCAAGTACCACTGTTTTGCCTTTTGCTGGATATTCACTACCCAACATTTACCATTCTTCAAGTAGTTAGTTCATTGTTGTTTCAGAGAAAAACAAAATACTACACAGTACACCTACAGAACTGCACAATACCAGATATTGGAAGACCAAAAGGAAGAAAAACTGAATTTACTGTGGACTTTTAACATCTTTAAAATGTGTGAAAACATACATTACATTGTCAATGACCGTTAATTATTCATTCATCAATCCGTCCAGTTCCATGACTGAATTATACAGGTTTTCTTTTTGCTCTATAAAGTAATACTTCTATATATGCTATTTATTTCTATTCTGTGAACTATGTAGTATGCAACTTCTCTCTTTTTACTAAATCTTTTAGAACCATTTGAATTACTGAATTTGTTAGAAAACCCAATGCTGAGGTAAGATATTGTTATAAACTGTGTGCTGACTTAAGGATAAAAACATTGAATGTACCAAAAAGTAATTAGCTGAGACTTCCTCCTTGTGAATAAAAGGCTGATGTAATAAATTCCTTGAGCAGGAAACTTCCAGTCACATTTCAGTCTGTTATCCAAATACACATAATTTGGTACTTCTGTGATTTCCTTGTTCTCCACCAGTAAGACAAGACAAATATTTTTTTTAATCAAACAAAAACCATAGAATCACAGAATTATAGAATGTGTCAGGTTGGAAGGGACCTTTAAAGGTCATCTAGTCCAACCCCTCTGCAGTGAGCAGGGACATCTTTAGCCAGATCAGGTTCCTCAGAGCCCCATCAAGCCTGACCTTGAATGTCTCCAGGGTTGAGGCCTTCACCAGCTCACTGGGCAAACTAAGTTACATAAATTTACCTATCAGCTTCACATTATGAGTATCAAAAACAGAGAAGTAAATGCAGATTTTGGAGAAAAAAAACATGCCTTTTATGTGACTTATTTATACAGTTGTCATGTCTTTACAGTCCTGGTAACATACATCACACATAGCATTACTGGAGAGGAAACACAAGCAAAATTATTGTTTCTGAAATGCACTTAATCACTAATTCTTTACATTTTAATTTCCATTTCATGTAGGTATCCCTCTCCAGCCTCAGTGCAACAAGGCATATGACACTTGTGTAGTTCCAGAGATTTTATTTTTTTCTCTGTGGTATTTGTGTTTGGAAGGAAAATGCTCTCTCTTTCAGACTAGTCAAGACATCAGCATAAAGCAAGAACATGTCACAATTGCTAATTTCCTTCAGCCAGACAAAATCCTTTCCTCAGTGGAATGAAGCCAATTCTTTTGAAAAGCTATGACCACGGCTCCTTACAATGGTGAACTTTACACTATACCTCTTCCTGCCCGGATAAAATGGAGCCAGACATGAAAGAATTCAAATATTTTGGATTGATGACTGCATCAATTTGTTTGTTAGTCTAAAGTTAGATTTTCCCTAAAATGTTTAAAGTTAAGATTTTGTCCTTTTCTCTAATGAAAGGTTAAGAACTCTGAGAATTTGTGCATTTGAGACAATAATTTGGATGATGCAAACAAAGCCTACAAAAATTTGTACCAAAATGGACAACGGATCCAATACAACACAGAGCCACTAAAAGATTCAGATAACTCTTGAGATAGGTATATTAAAATAGCACTGTAAAAATAAATGTCTCCTACTCCATTCAATGTCATAGTATTTAACCATTTATTACCATTTCTGATTTTTAATGAATTCTTAATACAGGCATGCACGTCTCACTGAAACTGTTCCACAGAGAAAGAAATAATTTCCAGATAAAAATCTACAGCCATATTCAGCTTTTATCATAGAATCATAGGATGGTTTGTGTTGGAAAGGACCTTGAAGATCATTTAGTCCAACCCCCCTGCCATGGGCAGGGACTCTTCCTGCTAGACCAGGCTGCTGAAAGCCCTGTCCAATCTGACCTTGAACACTTCCAGGGAGCCGCATCCACAACTTCCCTGGGCAACCTGTTCCAGTGTCTCACCACCCTCATAGTGATGAATTTCTTCCTGAAGTCTAATCTAAATCTAATCCCTTTACATTTAAAGCCATTACCCCTTGTCCCATCACTACGTGCCCTTGTAAAACGTCCCTCCCCAGCTTTCTTGTAGGCCCCCTTTTAAAGGATGTTTCAAGGTCATCTTGTCCAATATCCCTGCAAAAAGCAGTAATATCCTCAACTAGATCAGGTTGCTCAGAGCTCCCTCCAACCTGACCTTGAATGTTTCCAGGGATGGGTTGTAAGCAACCTTCAAAGACCACCTAGTCCAACCCCCTGCCATGGAGAGACACATCTTTCACTAGATCAGGTGGCTCAAAGTCCCATCCAGCCTAAACTTGACCACTTCACATGATGGGGCATCCACAACTTTGCTGGGCAAACTTTCTCCAACCATTTCTTCAAACTCCTTAAATATCCAATATCACTAACTATAACTCTTCTACTGTGTTTTTGCCTCTAATTTCTACATAAGCCATACAATGAATACTGAGAATTTGTAGCTGGGAACTTATCAGACCAATTGACCAAAGACTCTTAAGTCTCATTTAACACAAAAGCATTCTTCAGTTGCTGCACACAACTCTGTAGCAACTTTGTTCCAGAGATAAGGGAGAACACTGATCTGACAGAATTATGAAAAGTACAAATCGCTAGTATGTGTGTGAGAAACTCTTCACACTACCAGAACTTTCGGAAGGTGGCAGGGATCAAACGATGTTGTGTTATTTTGCAGCAAGGAGAAAAATAATGGATGGTAGAAATGCAAACAAAAAAGGAAAATTAAAATTGCCTTCTAACACTCTTTGACAGTCTGGTTAAACCCTGTAGCTAGGATCTGATTGTTCTATTTCACTGTGTATTAAAAAATCAGATTTGCCTTTCCTTCACTTGTGAAGAACAGACAACAAATTTGAAGTAATACAGAAGAAAATTTGGAGGTTATAATGTATCCGAAATAGAAGAAAAAATACTATTAGCATGAGTGGATGCTTCCTCGATCTGTTGCCATTCTTGTCATGGCAAATGAATCTATCCAAAGAGTCCCTCAGTCATTCTCTCACACAGATTCAGACAGACATGGGAAGTCAGCAATGAACATCTGTTTTATTTCCCCATGGGTGGTTAGGAATAAGAATGCTGTAGTTATTTAGGTGCAACAGGATTCCAGTCTATACACACGTTATCCAATGGAGTTATTAAAGAAAATAAAAGTTATACTAAGCATTGGCAAGTACAATATTCAATCACATTGTTTTGCCTTCCCTGCATCACCACTACAAATAATGTCTCAGATAAATAGCTTGTGTTTGATAATACAAATGAAAAGGAGAATTGTCTTTTATTAGTTTCAGCCAGAGAGGAAACACAGGTAGACAATTCAATCTTTGGAAAAAAAAAATATAAAGCATGTTTTTATCTATTTTAACTACGACTAGATAAAAAAGGAAAACTTTGCTTGTTCAATGTCCTTCTGCTTACTGAATTTGAAGAAGAAGAATCTCATTTATACACCAACATGTTACAAAAAGGATGAAACAGAAGCCGAATCCTGCAAACTTCTGCTCATTGGAATAATCTCAACTATACAACCTGAAGTACAGAGAATAATCTAATAATAATAACAACATTCCTTTTTGTAATAGTTTGTTGCTTTTCTTTGCAATATTTTAAAGGCAAT